TAAGTCTAACATGCCTAGCTCTTCCAGACTTTCCTCAAAGGGATTTGTTTCCAGGTCCTGATAATCTTTTTTGCCCTGTTCTGAACCTGTTCTAGTTTGTCTGCATTTTTCTTAATCCGTGCACACAGTACTCCAGATGAGGTCTAACCAGTACTAGGTGGTGGTGGTTGTTATTAGTTGCAAAGTCGTGTCCAACCCATCGCAACCCCCTGGACAACATTCCTCCAGGCCTTCCTGTCCTCCACCATCCCCCAGAGCCCCCTAAGCTCACACTGACTCCATCTGGCCACCTCATTCTCTGCCACCCCCTTCTTCTTTTGCCATCCATTGTTCCCAGCATCAGGCTCTTCTCCAGGGAGTCCTCATTAGGTGGCAAAAGGATTTGAGTTTCATCTTCAGGGTCTGGCCTTCTAAAGGGCAGTCAGGGTTGATCTCCTCTAGGACTGACCAGTTTGATCGCCTTGCGGTCCAAGGGACTCGCAGGAGTCTCCTCCAGCACCACAATTCAAAGGCCTCAGTTCTTCAGCGCTCAGTCTTCCTTATGGTCCAAATTTGAGAACTAGTAACTTACGTGATTTGGGAGTGATACTTCTATCCATACAGCCCAAAATACCATTTGCCCTTTTGGCAGCCACATCCCATTGTTAACTCATATTCAGCTTATGATCTACAACAATTCCAAGTTCCTTTTCGCTGATAGTATTGTAGAGCCAAGTATCCGTCAGCTTGTTACAATGCATTTGGTTTCTTTTTCCTGAGTGCAGAACTTGGCATTTGTCTCTATTAAATTGCATTCTGTTTTCAGTCCGGAGCTTCTGCCTTTCAAGACTACTTTTGAGGGGGTTTTTTTATGTCTTCCAAGGTATTACCTATTGCACCTACAAATCTGTTGAATATTCCCTGCACCTCCTCATCCAAATCATTAATTAAAATGTTGAAGAGCGTTAGACCCAGAACTGAGCCCTGTGGTCGCTCCTGCCCAGGAGTATCTACCACTCTCCAGCATTCATGCTATGATGTTTGCACTAAGTGCCCAGTGGAGAAGCAGCCGCTTTACGTTGTTGAGTCTGTTCTAAGGAGCAAGCTGGATCCGTGAGTCACTTGTCCGCCTTGGACAAGCATGGGCCAAGATGCCTGGCAAGGCTAGTGACCAGGAGCAGGAAGATCAGCCGATCTTCTGAACTAGAGCGGCCCGTGTGTTCCATTGAAGTGCTCAAATGAGCCAGAACGCTGCAATTTGAGCTCATGGCGAGACGGTCTTGGTTCCAGCTTTGCAAGGCTCAGTGGCTTTGGGCCCGTCACAGCTCTCAGCCCAACCTACCTCACCGGGTTTTTGTTGTGGGATAAGATTGAGAGCAGGAGGAAGAGAATGATGTAAGCCGCTTTGAGTTCCTTGGAAGGAAAAGGCAGGGTATGGAGCTAATAAATAAATAATTGCTTGTTGGGATTCATATTCTTAAAGTCTCCCGAGTGTAAAGTTACTTCAGGCTAAAGCCGGCAAGCTCCTTCATGATGACAAAGCAGTGGGACAGAGGAATGTGAGTATTTTGATGCCAAGGAACATTGTGACACTGGAGAATGGAGGCAACAAGAGAAATAAGCATGAGCAGATTACGGGCTGCATTTGTCGGAGTGCATAGAAGACTCGGCACGGCCAAGTTATCCGCTGGCCCTTAGTTTTTCCCGTTTCGTGGTGACTCTGTCTTGTGGGGCCTTCCACTGGTGATGCAGGGCACCTTTTTAGAGTCAGGGTGTCTTATAAAGAGATCACTGACACAAATAATCTTGCTTAAATATTTGTCCTTGTAGGCAATGATTGGCATGTGGTATGACTAAACTTTCTGACCTTTGCTTCTTAGGCAGATGATAAAAATTAATTGCATCTGTTATCTGCCGATATGAACAGACATGATACTCAGAGTTGCAGCTCATGCCCTGCCGATTTCCCAAGTCATTGCAAAATGCTATAGCAGAAAATATCAAACTAGCATGTAGCTACCCAGGGGCACTCACACACACACACACACGCACACACACTGTGAAATGCACGCAAAGGCCCAGTCGGATCATTTGGAGGAAATTCGGTCATGTTGCTTCATGTGTTGGCCAGCCTTACTCCTTCAACTCTGTTCTCTCCCATATGAAATCTTTCAGAGAAGAGACCCACTCCAGTCAGTCGTGTATTTGCTTGCACTGTATCTTACTTTTCTGCCAAGAAAAATGATGCTTAAGGTAGTTTTCTGTTATAAAGCTAGATTAAAATAGTAATAAATCAATGCATTAAAATACAATAAAAACAGCAATGACACAACAGAAACAGTGTCTGTTTCAATGAACCAGCTTGCAAGCCTAAAGACTACTTGAATAAAGAGGTCTTCCCTGGCTGGTGGAAGGACAGCAGAGAAATAGCAAACATAGCGTTCCTTGGCAGGGAATTCCACTGCCTGGGGGCAGCCATGAAGAAGACCCTGCCAGGGAAGACAGAGGCATCAGAAGAAAGCCCATCTCCTAAAGATTTTAAGGTGCAGATGGGCTCATACGGGTACAAGTAATCTTTCAGATAGCCTGGTCCCAAGCCATATACAGCTTTATAGGTCATAACCGAGGCTTGGAATTGTGCCCAGTTGCCAGCCTCATACTGGTTTCTGGCAGGAATTGGCATTGAACTTTTCACTTGGCCAGGATCCCAGTACATTAAGATTCCGGCCAAAGGTCATCCGACTCCTCAGGGAAGTGTTCTGCTTCCTGCAGTGGCCCAGCTAGTGCTTCCGGGAAGCCTATAAGGCAGGAATGCCTCGTGTGTCTCCTGCTGTGTACCCTTCCAGCCCAGCAACTGCTGAGCCGAGCATGCAGGTTCCATATGGATCTCATGACTAATAGCCATGGACAAGCTGTCCTTCACGCCTCCTTTGTATGGACAGTCCTTCGCCTGAGCAGCCCATGCCTTGAATCGAATGGCGCTCTTCGCCTGCCTCTTCTCTGCATTTCTGCTCAGGCTGCCCTGTCACTGCTGTGCACCATGCTTGCAAGAGCCTGTAGGAAAGCAAGAGGCTGGAATCTTGCTCGGCCGCATTGCCTCACTCCCCTGGGATTTGGATTAGCGTTGGATGAAATTGCTGTTTTCATCTATTCCTGAAGCTCCAGAGTTTGCTGCATGTACTTCTATTGGATAGGCATGTCTTCTGTCATCACTTTCAACACCACGGAGGTGTAAAGCAGTTCTGCCCTTTCCTACTGCAGGTCTTTATGTATCAGTATGTATTAATCCTTCTGTCACAATGGTACACTCTCAACACCTACCCAGTTTCTGCGGCAGAGCTTCCTTTCCAAATGCTGAACTTTCTAGGCATGGGTTTTGCTGGTGACATCACTAGCTTCAGCAGGAATTCAGTATTGCCGATAACAGAGGAAATCCATACCATTGCAACCAGTTAGACATGGACGGTCTTATCCTGCAAGACCTGACATGGTGCTTTTTGGTGTGTTTTGACCAAGACAAAGAAATGGTTGCTATCCGTGATGAAGCACAGGTAATGGGTAAAGGTAACCGTTCAGTCACGGAATTCCTAAAAGTTAGTTCCAGAAACTTTAGAGTCAAGATGATAGCAGGCGCATGGGCATTTTTCCGAGGGTCCCCAGTGCCTCCGTAGGTACCTGTATAATTGAATATTGATTGGGGCAGACATTGGTGCAGTTCAGACCGAGCAGAGGAGTGTTGGCTGACTCAGACCCAAGAGTGTTGGTATCTTTTAAAATGAGGGCTGCAGGCTGTATTGGGTTAAAGTTGCTAGTTCACGTGAAAAGGTGGATCTGAGTTCCCAAAACCCGCTTTGCACCTGTGCCTTGCAGAATTGGACTCAGTGCTACTGATACAACGCACCATATATTTCACTCAAGAATTGACCCACCAGGGCGCTGCTAGTTTCCGCTGCCTCAAAACGTTTTTGTCAGTCTCAAACTCAGGGACGTGGACTGAGGGCACATGATGCATTCACCTGGCTGAATCTAAGCAGATCTGTGTCTGATTAACACCTGGGTGGGAGACCAGCTGGATCCCCATGTCTACCACCTTGAGTGCTGTGTGAAAGAGAGGCAGGTTTACTGTAATTATTTGCTATAATTCTAGATGAAACAAGCATGGTTGTTTGCGTGTTAACATTAATATATGGATTTTATGGCGTTTAACTACCATTTGCAGCAGTAAATGCATGCATGTAGAAGAAATGCTTGTCTCAAGTTATGCAGTTGGGTGGGCCAAGGATCTGCAGGCAGTTCCCTGGAATATGTTCACTGTGCCAAACACAGGCCAGTACCAAGCATCTGTGGTGTGTACAGTGAGAGATGACTGGCGACATGCTTCCTGTCCCACAAACTGAATCACAGTAACTGCTTTAATTGTGGTAAACTATGTACTAATATCTGTTGTGCTTATTTGTAAAATGCTTCTGATTGCATAAAACAGACAATATAGGTAGATAAAAAAGGGAGATAATTAATCCTAACAATGTTTTTTTTTTAATTAAAATATTCTCACGGGATCAGGAATGTTGTTCCTGGGTATCAAACACAGACAACGTTTGCACATTTCTGTTATGTCTTTAAGCTCTTCCTATAATGCTGTCAATTTAATTGTAAATGCTTTCTTATTGTGCATGTTCATACATACTTGCTGGCTTTGTTCAGAACCCTCCCCCTGCCAAAAGAAAAAAAAGTATTGCATGATGCAAATAAGCACAGTTGATGCCTTAAAAAAGTAAAGCTTTGACCAGCTGACAGCTCTCCCTAAAACTGTTTGGCCTCTTCCATACAAGTATGAAAGGGGCTTTATTTAAATGAATGGAAGTTACGAGCAGGTATGATACTACAGTTGCGCTTGAAATCTTATGGCAAAATGCTATAGCAGCAAATTTCAAACTGGCATGCAGAAAAGGACTGAAGAACTCAGAAATGTTGATGTACCCTGTGGTGGTGTGTGACTTGTGTTTCTTCTTGGTTTGCAGATTAATCAGCCGCTCGATGGGGAGTACCAGTGGAGTAGCCCTTTGTGTCACCTTCCCACTTCTGTGTAGCAAGCAAAACAACTTCAGCACCTCTTCAATAATAATTATGAAACTGGTATTAACTGAATGGCAATTATGGATTTTTAACTCTAGTTCACAGTAAACAAAAGCAAGCCAGCAAGCCATATGTTGAATCTCCTACCAAATAGCTTTTTGTTCCTCTGAATGTTTCAAAGCCTCCCTTCGAAATTGATGACGAGAGCCGTTTGTAACGAGGGGGATTACAAATATTGCTTACTTGAGGAACACAACGCCAACAGAAAGAGAAGACATCATAACTTATTGTTAGAGATGATAGTGTTATTTATAGAGTTATAATAAATATATATATATATATATATTTTTATGGTAATGAAAATGGCTCCCCAGAATGCTGACTCGGAAACTATGCAAGTTCAGGAGCTACCTGCGGTGCAGCTTCAGAAGCCGGAAAATGAGAATGAGAGCAAAGAAGAGACTATTAGCGAGGGATCCATAGACCGGATACCCGTGCGCCTCTGGGTGATGCATGGCGCCGTAATGTTTGGCAGGGAATTTTGTTACGCCATGGAAACAGCTTTGGTGACACCAGTCTTGTTGCAAATCGGTAAGTAAAATCGTTACCCCACATTAACATGGACGCCTTATGCCTGTGTTGTACTTGACCACCGCGTAGCGTTGCCAGAAAACCATAAACATTGGTTTGGCTTGAAATACAAGAGTTCGCGCCACAGGGTCAGGTTACCCAGGGGCCTTTGAACCTGTGCTGCTTGTGCAGAAGCCTCCGATGGCTTGCAGCTGCAGTCAAGCTCTGACAGCTGCTGCTACCACTGCATCTTGAGAGAGCCTGTTCCGTTTCTTTCTCACTTACTTCAGCAACGCCTGTCTTCTTCTGGTAACAGAAAGGAAGTCACAGCATTTGCCAAAGTCTTTTTTCCTGCTTCCTGAAGAAGCCAATTGCTGCAGCTGAGCGGTGACGTGGGCGAGCACTGTCAGCAGTAGTGCTCTTCAGAGACCTGAAAGGTGCTCTCCACATGCTTCTAACAGGTATCGAAAGAGTCACCTGCATGGCTGCCAGGCAACCACAGGCTTCTGTGCACACGGGGGACTGAGCTGCTGGGAGAACTCGCCTTTCTCTCGCAAAATGTTCTGCCGTTCTTGCTGGCTTCAGGTGCTTTCCAGGTCACTGTAGATCCCTTCTCTTCAGCAAAGCACTTCAGCGCTTCCTACAAGTGCCAAGCGACTCACCAGGCTTTTAAGTGGTGATAGGGTTGATCCTCCAAAACCAAAGTGCACCTCCTTTCACATTTGATTCCATTCACCAAGTATGTAATTCAAAGGATAATGTGTGTCGGTGTCTTTTTAGGCGCCAGTGGCATAAGCATCTGCTGCTTGTGTAGTATTAGGAATGCTTGAGAGTAGATTTGAATACAGATCTTCCCTACAGTTGATATCTTGGTTAGTAGCGCAACAGAGAGTATGGGGCATGGGCAAAACTAACCGAAGTCCCTTTCTTGGGGGCCTATATGACTCCATAAAGGAAGCCATGGCCTTGAAGTTACGAGCGCTGAGCGGGGCTGTCATGAGTCGGACATTTTGGAAAGATTTCACTCTCAGGGTTGTCCTGAAGAGAAGACAACTTGGCGGAACCTAACAACAAATGGTAGATGTTACTCTTTATCTGCATGTGCAGTAGATAAAGAGCGCCCTGCTTCAGCAGATAGTTATGTCTTGCCTGACCTGGCTCAAGATCTGCCTGTCTGTCTGTACCACCCCACAGCCAAAGCTCTCTGGGTGGTGTACAACTGTCCATAAGAAATGCAAGAGAAACATAAAATCAAGAAAAACATTTAAAAAATTAAAACAGCTAAAAACAGTAACAAGGAATGACTACAAAACACCTGATGGTCCCCATTAAGCCCCTTTAAGTAAGTCCTGAAAGGCCTCTGAAAAGAGGGTCCTCTTAATCTGGTGCTGAAAAGATTTGGTGCCAGCCAGGCCATTGTGTAGAGGTTGTTCGATAGCTGGGGGAAGACCCAAGGATGAAGCCCTTGCCCTCATCACCCTCTGTGTTTCCCTTGGAGTGGGCGCTCAGAGGTAGGCCCTAGACATGGAGCGCAGTGTCCGAATAGCTTGCAGTGGGGAAAGGTACCCCAACAGAGACTGTGGTCCTGAGCTATTTAGGGCTTTATCAGTTGAAAACCAACACCTTGAATTGTCACCAGAAACATGCAGGCAGCCAATGCAAGTGGGCCAAAACCAGACTTATAAGTTCATACTTGTGGGTACCAATTTTTAATTCCATGCTGGAGAATCCAAGGGCTGAACAATATTCCCCAAGCACCATCTTCTGGAGACAGCCCTCCAGGTAGGAGCAAAACCTACTAGTAAGAACATGTTCTGCTAGCCTAAAATTATTCTGCTTTTCTGGGTCAAGAGAGAGGGGTTTCTTCAGAAGAGTATTTTGTGGCAGGTTACCTGCTGATAAGGAGCTCATTCTGAAATACAGGTTTATATACATTTCTGTTATAATTCTGCTTGGAGATAGATATGACTTGTCTTCAATCCTGGGAAGCTTAATCCAGCCCAGACTGGTCGAAAACCCTCTATATTTCCTTGTGTGAAAGAAATCAAAAACTCTGTGTTGCTGTTTTGGCACTGGCGATATAAAATGCCCTCTCTCATGAAACCTGTCTCAATTGAATCAAACTGTTCTTGAACTCCAGATGATATTCATCATGAAGTGCTCATGTGGGAAGCACTGCTACATCGTGTTGACTGTACCTTCTTGCTAGTTTCACATTGTGTAATGTGTGAAGTGATCCTCAGTAAGGCATCCAGCATGGTAGGACGCCAGCCAACTTAAAAAAAAACCCCCAAATATGGCGCATAAATATAGCTTACACACAGTCAGGCCATAGAATCATCGATGTTCTACTCAGGGAGAAGAGATCTCCAATCTTGCACTTAGAGGTGTTTTCTCCCCCAGCTCTGCTTCTTGAGATCTTTTAGCAGAAGTTTGACCCTGAGCTTCTTTGCATGGAAAAGCATCCAGAAGAGCCGGTAGAGTAAGCATCAGTATGGCAAACGCAGTTCCATCTAGGCAAGTATAAAGTGATGCACATTAGGACAAAACACTGTGATTTCATGCTTGTGCTGTTGAACTCGCAGATAATGTTGGCTGATAAGAAAAGAGTTGCTGGAATGATGCGTAACTCAGTGGAAAAGATGTGCCAATGCGTGATGACTGTGGAAAAAGGCAAATTCCTTGTTGGAGATCATTAGTAAAGGAGTCAAATAAAGCAGCTGGTATGACAATGCCGTTATATCATTCCTTGGTGCAGCCACAGTTGGAATAATATTTACTGTTCTAGTTTTGGTCTGGTCACTGCACCTCAAAAGGAATATGGTGGACTTGGGAGTTGCTGCAGCTTTTCTTCCGCCAGTGAAGAACAGATAAAATGGTTGGGGCTCTTTAGCTTAGGGAAGAAAGCAAGGGAAAAAGAGCAGGACACGGTTGTACATAATTAGACATGGTGCAGTGTAAGTGGATAATATTAGCACCTAGCATCTTCCAATAAAACTGATGGGATATTCAAGACGGATGCAGTGATAGAATACTCCCCACAGCATGTAGACCAGGGCTGGACAACCCCTGGCCCTTGAGCTGTCTTTGGACTACAGGTCTCATCAACCTTCACCACCACTTGTGAAAATACTGCTGAGCTGGATAAATCTTGGCCTGATCCAGCACAGCTCTTCTTCCAAACACTGAGCTACGATGACCACCTTCCAAACAGTTCTCTAGAAAAGGTGGAAGAGGCTGGATGCCCAGTTCTGATAGGGATTCGGCTGACAACTTGCCACAGTTTCATTATCCATAAAGCACCCTAACATTTTTGACCCCCAGATGGAACTGAGCCTCCCATCCTGCAATGTCACCAAGTCTGCAGTCAATCAAGGGCTCTCTCCTATGTCTTATATATGGAGAAGCTCCCTCAATTGCTGTTGAACTCTCCATCTCAGAGACTTGTCACAAACTTAGCATCTCTCCTGGGAGATCTAAATGACCTTTCTAACTGTCTTAGCTTTGAATCATCACAATGTTGTATGTGTTTGAAATGTTTTGCCCTGGGATTTCATGGGGTATTTCTTACATTACTCAAAACACTTTTTCATGCTGAAATCTCTAATTTGCTTCCTTGCACAAAAAAAGGTGAAAGCAACAAGAATGAGATTGCAATGGCCATTATTTCCACTGAGCTCACTTTCTATTTCATCAGAGCAGACTAAAAAATAACCAGCAATTATTAATGTGTGACAGCATTATGAGTAAGTTGCTTTTGGGTGCTTGAGTGAAGACCGAGAGAGGCAGACCATTTTCCCTCCCTGCACAGGGTCGTCCTGCAGACCCAGAACCACTTGCTGAAAAGGCCCTGCTGCTGTCTGGGAAGGTGCCTCCACCCGTGTGACGGAGCAGAGGCCGTGATGATCTGGATGAGTAGGTAGGCTCCTGCAGAGAGGGGCTCTCCAGGGCCTTCCAAGCCAGGATCCTTCCAATATTTTTAGACAGTGAAATGCTGAATATCTAATTGCATTTTAATCTCACCCTGCCCTTCAGGAAAGGGTGTGGAAGAGCGTAGATTCTGGGAGGGGTCCCCTTGGATCTCAGAACTTTTCATCTCTAGGCTCCCAGTATCAATGCTTTCAGCTGTCCTTCATTCCACATTTTTGTTTAAGAATGCACACGATCAAACTTACAAATCAAGGATAAATTATCCTGCTTGTGTGATAACACTGTATTTTGCCACCAAAATCTGGACATGTGCCCATGTGCTTTCAGTGGTGTTAAGCGTGGTTGGCTGCAGCAATCCTGCAACTTGCTGCGTTAGGGCAGGAGCCGAACACATTCTATACAAATAACGACTGCTGTGGATTCAATAAAGTAACCTCCATTGAAATCCCATTGCAGAATTGTTCAGCTACACACAGGTTTTTGTGAGCGTCAAAACTGACTTGCAGCAAACCTGGCATTTGCTGCCTAGAAGAGAACCTCTGACTCCGACTGAACTCCAAGCAGGTCTTTCCAGACAAACCCTCCATTGTGGCCATTCCTCTTTATGTGTCCTCCCAAACTGAACACTGCATTACCCTTCTAATAGTGCCTTCTCTGGATTAGCAGCCTGAGACATGTAACCGTATCCAGACCTTCGTAGCATAGCAACAAGAGAAAGTAAGCCCTCTTTATCAAGCAGGTTTTTCTTGCATGTCTTCATCTACTGTCCCGTTGTCATCGCCCCCACCCCGGAAATTTAAGATGTACAATTCAGCCCTGCAGAATCCACCAACAAGAGTCTGGTGCAAAAGACATGCGCATAAATTTAAAGAATGACGAGTCCAGAAATTTGCTTTGAGTATAAACCGAACAGAGTTCATAGTCTCTCCACAAATACTTCTGGTTACTGCCAGCTTTACTGATCTCAGAAATATAACTTAGGTTAGAGAAGTGAATTGTTCTGTTGCTGTTATTGTTGAATAATAGGGAGTTAAAAATCTTTTCAGATCCATATACCTACTAGTATATCCAGATATACTTTCTCATTTCTG